AGGTTGCCTCATCTGAACAAAAAGAAAAAGATGAGCCCTAGCATGGATGGTGGGAGAATTACAAGCTGTCAGGAATGACTTAAATAGTGTGAGTTAATAAGTGACACCGAGACAGATGGTGGGTCATGGAGGACACCTTGCTAAGGATATTTCATAGGTGGTGGGAAGCCAGGAGTGGGATGTCAGGACTCAGGTCTGGGTTTTAGACATCTATAACTGAGAGGATTGAATTGTGCCAATGGTTTTTACCTTAGACCAAGTTCCCTATGAAACAGAGCTTGAGGCAATGATTAGGTGCTGGTGCTTAATGGGGAGGTAAATCCCAGGCACAGAGCAAGAGAGGAAGAACATGAGGCAGGGAAGCTATGCAACGTGATACGTTACTGAGCTGCCATGTTCCTTGTGCTTCAGAGACACAGTGGTTGCCCAGCAGGTGTGCCCACTTGGCCATCTGTGGACAGTAATATGGAGAATTATGCTTTGGAACAGTTTGTAAGCAGGTGGAAGTTGTGAGGAATTATCTTCCTATCTCCTATACTACTGATCTAAGTTCAGCCCACAGGAGACAACTTCTGCATTGCTTCATCTGGTTTCTTTGGCAGTTGATCAGAAAACCAGATCCCAGACTCCAGAGTGTGGCTTTCCATCCAAGTACTGAAGTGATCTTAGAAGCCAAAATTTGGGGCATGGGGCACTAGTGGCAGCTGAGGGGAATGCTCAGCCCATTTGGGCATGTCAAAGTTCAGACAGTCCTAGGCCAGTCTTAGGTGGCAGACCTGTGAGGACTCAAGCCCACTGGATTGGTCACAGTGGTGGGACAAGGAGCAGGCACTTGGAAAGACACAGCCAGAAGTTGAAGCTGAGGACCCAGTTCTATGTGGAAACCACATGTAAGAGGAGCTGTTCTTTGAACCAAAGAGGAGAATCCATACCCCATTTTTTCACCCTCTCTCCATCCATGGTGACCTTAATTCCTACCCCTCAGTGCTCCTTAGGAGACCATATGAAATAAGATTAGATGTTCTGCCTTCTAGCACCAGCATTCAGACTTTTTTTTGGTTGGGGAGGGGTGTAATACATCTGAGGAATAATATTTCACAGCCAGTAAGATAAATTTGTTCTCTTACTCTTTTTCGGGTGTGGGATTGCAAAGAAAGGGAGTTGTAAACAAGTGCAAACATGGGTAGAGTTAAAACAAATTATAGAATTTGGGGATTTTGAGAATTTGAAGTTTGTCTAGTTCAATTACCTCATCTCGTAGATGAGAAAACTGGAATTCAAGAGGATAAATTGTCTTGGAAAAGGTCATACAACTAGTCAGTGACCGAGAGGTAGAACCAAGAGAATCTGACTCTTAATCTTGGGCTCTTTCTGTGTGTAAGTGTCCGTGTACATAGTTTTGGAGTTCATGAATTTGCTTCTATACTTTTTAAATATTGCATTTTCATTTTCATAACAGTATAAAACCACCAGTTTTTACTTATTCGGAACCATCTGGATGATCATCTGTTATTTCCATAACCAAACTATAGTGAATCTTTCCTTTGTCCTGGACATAATAGTACAAGTGAGCCAAATACAGGTAAATCTGCCTGTTAGACTGCCAGAACCAAATACCATAGACTGAATGGCTTACAGTCAACAGAAATTTATTTCTCACTGTTCTGGAAGTTGAGAAGTCCAAGATCAAGACACCAGCAGATTTAGTTTCCTGGTTCATGAACTCCTGTTTTTCCTCTGTGTCCTCACATGACAGAAGTGTTGAGCGGGGTCTCTCTGGTGCCATTTTAATAAGGGCACTAATTCCATTCATGAGGACACCCCCTCATGACCTCATCACTTCCCAAACATCCCACTTCTTTCTACCATCACGTTGGCCACTAGGTTTCAACATACGAATTTTGGAGAGCACATGAACATTCAACCATAGCACTGGCCCATACTAATTAGTACTGAATTCACTTTGCAGTACACCATATTGCAGGAGTTCCATTGTTGTAGACGTTTATTTAGTAACAGTAAAGGGGTAGCAAAAAATTTTTCTTCACCAAATTCCAGCAGTAATTTGACTTGATGCCCATTTAATGCAGATATCAGAGATGCTATGACACTAACTTTATTCTCAAATTAGCAAGACAATTTTGCTTACTTACCAGTGACATTTTGTTTTAAATAGCATCTGAGGATTACTCCCGAGCAGAGTTTCTGCATGAATAGGAGATCTGAATAACCTCAACTAGCAAAAAGAACCCTGAAGTCATTGTCATTAATACTCTCTCATCAAATATATTTGTATAAATAGGGATTTTCTATTTTAGAATGATTAAAGTCAAAATTCTGTAACATTAAATATAGGACAGACCTGGGACTATACGTATGAGTACACCCAATATTGAAAATTTAGTTGCAGCAGAAAAGTATGATCCTCCATATAAATATGTAGTGATAATTGAAATTCTGTTAGTTCTATAGCTTTTAAAATTCAATTTGCAATTTTTTCTTAGTTTATCATCTTACTAGAGCAATTACTTATAGCCTTCTTCCCTAGTTTATATATATTTTTAAAGCATAAAAATAAAAATAACATAATTCTGTCCTTGGAAATAATTTTTTTCTGTTAAAAACAAGTCCAGGTATTACCCAGTTTAAGAGTGACCTCAAACAGCACATGCATCCTCCTGGGATACACAATTTCAGTAATGACGGACTCATTAAGGAAAAAGCCTAGATCTTGGATTCCAGAGTCCCAGGTTCAGGTCTGGCTCTGCTAACAAGTAACTGTGTATCTCCATTAAATCATGTAACTTCTCTGGCTCTCAGTTTTCTCATTGCCAAGTAACAGAGATTTTGAAGATCACAAATCCTTATGCCTACTGGAACCAGGTACAGAATTAAGTGAAATAGTCCAGCTCTAAGTTAGATAGTACTGGGGACAGTAACTTAGAGGACATCTGCTCTGTCTTTCAAGTTATTTAAATTCAAAACTTTTTTTAGCACCACACGCAAAAAAAAACTAAAGTCATGGACCAGATTTGATTTGAAAGTTGCCAGTTTGTAATTCCTGGACCAGATTATCTTTAGGACACCTCCCCCAACTCTGAATCATTGAATACAATGACTGTAATGTAAATGAGGAGGAGGCCAGCATCTGCATGACCAGTGCTAAATGGTAATGGGCATAGAAGGAAATACTCCAGAAGGTTTCATTGTGTTTTAGTGTTTTAAGAGGAATGCAGTATCATACAAAGGAATAAGGCAAGAACAGGGCTGGGAAATGCATGATCAGAGTGATCTTCTTGGTCCCAACTTTATCCAAACCAAAGTACTATCTGACGTGTAATCCCTATTCAGTTTTCTAGTATCATACTCCCAATCTAGTCCAAAGATTTACTAACATTCAACAAATGATAGGTTAGGCACTGTGCCAGATGCTGGAAATATCTGTAGAAAATCATATTCATGTTTTCTCTTTTTATTGAAGAATGCATTTGATTGGTTGTTTTTCACCATTGCATTTTTTAACCCTCACTTTGTTCCAGGTATTATTAACAAGAACTAATTCTAATTAAAGTTTGAATATTGGCTAAGACATTTCATATGTTTTTCCATCATTTAGAATTTAAGGGGACAGCATGAGAATATTTTGAAATGGATGTTGTGTTCGCAGAACCATTGACGTTATTTGATATACATCCTAACTTTAGGAACGTGTTTTCCAGACTTGGTACAGACCCTCATTTCCTGCTCTCTCAATAGTTGGCCTTTATTGCACACAAATTTTCTGTCACTGACCAGGGCATTTCTTTTCTTTTTCATTCCTTGCATCTATATTCCTCTTCCTCCCAACTGTTTCTAGTCTGGCCATCTTTCATGTCATTTTTGATAGAAAAAAATAAAATGTAAATGTCAAACTTTGATTCTGTTTCTAAAATCAGTCACACTAAAATAAAGAGATGCTGGAATGCGACCATAAGCTTCAAGGTCCTATTCTAGCAGTTTAATTTAAAAGCAAAATAAGAGGGGGAGGGTATAGCTCAGCAGTAGAGCACATGCTTAGTTAGCATGTATGAGGTCCTGGGTTCATGGGTCCCCAGTACCTCCATTAAAAATAAAATAAAAATAAAAGCAAAATAATAAACAATAAGTAGATTGAGAATAAGGAACAACATTTTAATCTGTCCCTAATAACTACTGACCACCCAGTTTATGATGTCACCGCATTTATTCTTACAATCGGCTATTTCCTGTTATAAATGTCTTTTATTCATGTCTGCCCCCTTTCTCTTGGTTTATTAGCCTTGTGGTCACCACAGTTTCTTTCTCTTCCTAATCAGTTGACATTTTTATGAAAAGAGTTTGCAAAGTGTTCAGCTCTGAGAGAGTGGCATACTGAGCATGGGCTGCCACCTTATGAAACCTCTCTCAGGACAACTCTGGTACCTAACACTTGAGTTAGAATGTTTTCAGAGGAATTGTTTGTTAATTTACATTTATGCAGTGCTCTATGAATAAATTGGCATGGTTTTAAAAATATAAAACTTATGACATCACCATAGCATGTATTCTATTCACTGCTTAATAACATTTATGAACAACGGCAAAATACCTGTTGTTTTAAAAGTGGCACAAAAATTCAGACACTTGGTGGTTTGCCTCTTTAGACAGCTCATGTTAGTCCTTCTATAAGCAAAGCCCCAATGATCTGGGCCAACCAGGGACGGAAATTCCCTGCCAATTTATGAATACAGTAACAATGGCTAGTAATCCAATCAGATAAGTATTTTTTTTGCATCTTACAGGAAATAAACAATTAAACAGTAAAATAATCAAGAGTCAGAATTTTGTGAAGAAAATCAGCTGACATGAAAGATATATGCTTCCAGTGGTCCAAATGGTCTTTCCACTGATTTTTCACAGAGCTCTGATTAGCCTGCACCTACACTGTTTGATGTGGCAAAAAAAAAAAAGGCCATTTGCTAATTCAAAACATTTGTTTTTAGGTGCCAGGTCGACCTGTCAGCTCTCAGCAGGGAGCAGACTCACAAGTTGGAGTTGCAGCTGGAAGAAGGGGAGGGGCACCTGGTACTGCTGGTCACCCTGACAGCTTCAGCCACAGTCAGCATCTCTGACCTCTCCATCAACTCCCCGGAGGACCAGAAAGAACGCGAGGAAATATTAAAGAGATATGTACGTATGTAACCCTCCTCCCTCAGGGTCATGTGTGACTAGATGAGGTTGTAAATAATTTACATGGAGTGGCAGAAGTACATCTGAAAAGCTGTCTGATAAACGTATCAGCAGAAGCAGAAAGCTGGGCAGAGGAAAACACCCTGCAACTCTTTGCAGAAGCACTTGGGTTACCCGCGGATATCTAGATACCCGGTCTTCTCTGCAGTCTCTTCCAGCGCGAGTTCTAGATTTTGAGATTCTCCTCAGTGATTTTTATCACGCAACAAAATTATCATGCAAGGAAACGTCCCACAGCAGAAAATCAAGTGTACACAATAATACTTCAAAGTTAGTTCATGACTAGTTTTTTGTAAGTGGAATTAAGATTTCTTTATCTTTCCAAATTTGAAATAGAGTTTAATGGCACTTATATGAATTAGTAGCTTGGTAACTAAAGGCTAATCACAGAAATAATTTTTATTTTCAACTGTTTAGAAAAGCCTCACTTCATTCCTTTAATTTTTTAATTGAGTATGAATTAAAAGGAAGCCTCTTTAACTTTTGATCAGATGTAGAGTGATAGGGTGGAATAGTGAGTTACTAAAGTAAGTACCCTTCTCAAATGCTACCAAACCCTCTCACAACAGATCTGCCTATTTCCCAGCATCCTCATGTTTTCCATTTCCCACCATGTAGTTTTCCTGAGTCAACAGAGAGGGGAGCTCTTACTCCACTGTTCTGTCTCAATGAAGCCTCGAAAAGTGAATGTCTCAGGACCCATGAAGCTGGGAAAAAAGCTTTTCCACTTAAAATTACAAAGCTTGTATTGTACAATGCTGCCAGGTGTTTAGAAGGCTCCTCTAGACACTCAGCCATGAAACCAAGCTCTGACTAACAAAGGGCCGCTTAATTTTTTTTTAGATTTTAAAATATTCCTGTTGCTGACTGACATCCTTCCAATAACTGAATTTAATAAAGATGTACCTTATCAGGCTGTGCAGATAACATGAAGTGCTGGTACTAATGCTCTACAATATTCTTCAAACAGATTAGCAGGATGTGCGCTTCAGCAAATTTATTCTGGCTATCTCCACGGAATCAGCTGTCTGCTAATGCTTGTACAACTCATCCACCAATGGTGTTATCATAAACAGTTTAATAGAGGTGACTTAGCAAGGCTAAAGAGTATATATTTTTAAACCACGTAAGAGCCCAAGGTATTGTGTGGCATCCTCTAATACATAATTGCAGTTGTGAAAACTATTTCCCATTTTGGTACTCACCAAGACATATTCTCCTGTTACCAGAAGTGAGCCTCATGAATTAAAACAATGTTAAAGAAGTTAACTGGAATAGTAATATGAAAATTATTCTAGGTATTATAGTATTACATTTGATGGATTAATATTTGATACTATCCCATATATTAGAATGACACAACAGGCTAGGTAATTAGACATGATCCTATTATTACTGATATTTTTTTTCTTTTTGCTGGATGGGCCTCCTTAAATCAGCCATTTCAATTTTGAATTTGAATATTTGTTTTTATACCTTCTTTCAAATATTAGTTATTATTTTAATAAAATATCAAATATTACGTGGATGTCCCAGCTGCTTCTCAGATTATGTTCTGCTCAGTCTCTTCAAAAGTGAACTATGTTTAAATATACTTGTTTTTAGCCCTGAATTTCAAGCAGAGGCCTGTATTTCCCTCTAGAGACATACTTGCCAAGAAGCTACTGTCTGGAGCATAGTACATGTATTATGATCTCTCATAGCAATACAAGGACAAAGACCTATATTTTAGTGTCTTAGAGTATCTCCTTTTTATTATATAGATTATGAAATGAATGAATGCTATATCATGTCTGAAATACCACTTGTTTCGGAGAAACATATGAAAGAGTTCATTTGGAGAATTATTCATATGTTTTCCTATGAGAACTTGTGTTTTGTTTTTATTTTTGTTTTGTTTTTTTTTAAGTTCAGGCTAAACTTGAGAGTTTGATTTGGCTCCAGTTATGGTGAGGAAAGTAGGTAGCTTGCCCGACTCATATGAACCAGCCCTGAAAAGGCTCTCCATTGCTGTCTATCAGCTGTTCATTGCAAAGCACTGAAGCCCCACAAATTAAACAGACATTACTGTGTGAGCCATTATTTGATCACCACATTCTGAAAAGATGGCTAATTCCATTTTTCTTTTTTTTTTTTTCCTTCTTTCTGGGGAGAGGGAAGCAAGGAAGGTCAATAGGGGGCGGGTAGTAATGGGTAGTAGACCAAGAGCGATCGTATGACCTTTTCAGAACGGGTGTGCTGAACCCTTGCTCCCCCTTGTCACAGTTTAAAAACCAGAGGAGCTAGTTTAGAGAAGAAGTTGTTAGCATTCCATTTTTATTATGACATTTCACAGTCATCTGATTTAATGTCCCTTGACCGGATTGTCCACCGTGAGACGATGGGCTTGAAATGTTATTTAGAGCATTGATAAAAGGTGAGCGGTTCTAAGATGACAGCGAGTCATAAGGCTGGTGGTGTGACATTAATTTTCTCCATAACAGAGATGGAATAAGACGTCACGGTGACAAGCTGTCAATCAGCTCCGGCCCCTCAGAGCATCTCGATGCCATAGGATGGGGTATTGCCTCTCCCGTAATAGAGCTGAACTGAGATGCTCTCCCTGACAGCTGCTGCAGCCATAGAGAAAATATATTATACAGCCTTTCATTAAAAAAATAAAGAGGACTCCTCTCCAGAGCATTTCAATCTTTTCCCATCTATTGAGGGCTGAAAGGATTCACAGCAAATCATAGATTCCTCTGCTATGGAAATTTCTGGCTTCAGAAGCCATCCAGGTTTTGAGGCCTTCTAAAATAACCATAAATAACAAGTCAGGAATACCTCTTGATGAAGCATTACTTCAAGTTATATATTTAAACCAATACATTTACGTTTGGAGGGTTTTTTGTTTTTTTGTTTTTTCTTTTTGCGGGAGAGTTATTATAATCGATGTGTGTTACTTGCCTAAACAGTTGAAGTTTGCAATAAATTACTGAGTATCAGCTGACTCGAGGAAATGAAACCTTCAAACAATAATTACCCTCCAAATGGAAAGCAGAACATCGAGGCTGATGCACCAGAAGCTGTGTGACCGGGCAGTGAGGTTACCAGCATGAAAACGGTTCTCAGACTGAGCGCTGAAGATACTTGTTTTAGTCACAATGGAACTTGGCTTAAATGGCTCCTGAAAATTAAAGGACAGGAACCCCTTGATAAAACCCTTCTCCGCCATTAGATTAAAAGACTTACCTGGTCTACAGCACTCAGTAAACTCTCAGATAAAAGGCAACTTCCCAAACCCAAAGGTTACTACCTGAGGAAGACAGCATGCCAGCAAATCTCTGAATTATAATACTGCTGTCTGAAGTCTCCACTGTTCAGCCCTTCATTTACAGGAGTTTAAATGGAGAGAGAAGTGCATTTTTATGGAACCCAGTCATCTGGGTGGTTTAAACAGTTTGGGTGATAAACAACTGTTTAAAAACAATAAAAGATTAAGAGCTAATCCATGTGCTGAACACTCCTTTTTAAAAGTTAGGCTATGAGATTATGCATCTATCTGTGTTTCCTCCTCTCAGTATGCCAAGGTCAGAGCTGCAGGGTAAACAATGACTTGTCATACGGGACTGATAAAGTTAATACTGCTGTGAGCTTGTGGTTGTCAGTACTCTCACATTCTCATACAAAGATGGGAATGTTCTTTACTCTAGTAACGTTTTAATAGCTAATTTTATTACGCAAAACTATGTTATGCTTCCCGGTTTTAAAGCTTTTTAAAGATTATGATAAAGAAGTACCTTTGATTTACTGAGTAAAAGTGCTGATCTTGTCATGAGAAAAATACAGTGAGGCGTAAATAAATGAATGCATATCATCTCCTATAGGTACATTTTACTAAGAATTTGTGTCCATTAGAGTTCTGAATTACTGTCTTGGTATCCCTCTTTTAATTCCTTCAAGTATTACACTTGCTAAAACGCTACCATTATTAATTTATGAAATTAAATAGGTTTTAGCATTTGGATCTGATTCTTCTATTAAAATTTCTATACCTACTACAATGGCAAATAAATTTACAAATTTAAGAAAAATTGCTTATCACTTTTAAATTGATTTTTATTGGTCTATTTGATTTCCTTTTGAAAATTATATCTGTTTTCTACCTAAAAGGTGTATGGAACTATGTAAGACTTTAGAATTAAGTATTAGAAAATATTCTTTCAATAATTTAACCCTCATCTAGCACCTGAAATTTAGAAAACTCACCGAGAAGAAAATAGTAGAAAAAAGTTAGTTAATTTAATGTTGGCTTTCTTACTCTCAAAGTCTGAGGTGCGCTACACAATCAACAACTTAAGATTCGATATTAAGAATCATTAGTTTCCAAATCATCATTCGTACAGATGAAAGATTTCTTGGAGTGCTTTGGTAAAGGAGACTGAAGAAGAAAGCAGACTTGTCCTATTTTATAATTTATTGTTCAACATCTACTGTTAATTACTTATGGGAAAGAAATGTGGTATTTTTTACTCTTTCAAAAAATCTACTTATATAGCAAAAAATGATCTACATAAATATCCGTGTGCATGTGTTTGTGTGTGCATGTACACATTCATATAGAAAGGTCATCTGTGCTGAAGAAACATAAGTATCCCCCCTCCCTTTGTTTTTCCACAAATATCCTTTTGATCACTTATGCAGCATCCTGAGATCAATCATAATACTTAGTGTTTTCTCAGCACACTCTTTGAGACCCTTTAGGACCTTTCTTTTCTAATACTGATGTTGGGATCTTTCAGAGCCCATTGCGGATATTTCACAACCTGAAAGATGTGGGATTTCTCCAGGTGAAAGTTATCAGAGCAGAAGGGCTAATGGCCGCTGATGTCACAGGTAAGAAATGATGCAGTTCTCCTATTGCATATATATCAAGCAGCATGCAAGGTCTACTCCATTTAATGATTGAACTTTTCTGTATCTTCTTCTCTCAGAGGTATCAGCTTCCCTCAGATGATACCATAGTATCAACACTTATAATTCGAACATGCATAGAATCTGTTGCATAGTTACTGAAAAGTTAGATGTATAATACTCAATTACTTGGTACGAGTTCTTTGTATTTGGATTGCTGATCCAATTCCTTAGTTGTCCAAATTTCTTAGCACATCCCAGAGATCATTCTGGATCTAAACTAAGCATCTACATTGTTCTAAATGTTTTTTAACCAAGAGACAGACCTGTAAAAATGCCAAAGTCAGTATGATGTCTTCAAGTTTCCTGATTTGGATATTGCTGTTTCTATGACATATTCATTAATTATTTCGTCACTTTCCAGAGTTAAATCATTGTTCAGAATTTGCAACTATTTGAGCATTCATTTTTTATTTATTTCAGAGGATTCGAGGGATGTTTATATGATTCCTTAAATAGACCATCTCAAGATGGATAATAAATAAGACTAACTTGACCAATTTTTGTGTAAAATTTTCTTCTCCTGAAAGAATGTATCCACTTAGTATTTGTGGAAATATGCTTACCACTGTGAATGGTCAGTATGTTGACCCTGAAGGTGTAGCTGACTTATTTGAAGGGGAGAAATGTCCTTTTCCTGCCATAAAGAGCTTGCAAACCCTTTATAATAATGCTGCTGCCCTTCTTTAATTCATGGAACAGAATCAAAACCTAATTAAAAGATCACATGCCTTAAAATTAAATAGCAGATGTCTGCTTCAAAATGGCAATATTTTAATTTTTTAATATTTATGTAGTATCAAATGACTACTTATTATATGATAAAATTAAAATGTTGACAGTTTACAGTTTCTTTAAAGGGAATATTATCAACTCATGAGTAACCAAGAAGATAATGACAACTGTCAAATATTATTTCAAAATAGGCATACCTGAAAACAGTGGGAGAGAGCGTTGTTTGTAATCTTTTTGCATATATACTTACTTGGCTCTGGGTACTAAACAGTTAGTGAATGGTAAGTTTTTTCATTTTCTATTTTATTTCTGGTGTAGTTAGAATCAAATTATTCTGAATACAGTGATTTTTTCCATCATTACGCCACTTTCATTATTAGAACCGTTCATTGTTGACTGACTGCTCTATTTTTGTGCACTTTGGGTATTAACTTAACTACTGGAATAGGAACACTGGGCTGCTTTTACACCACAGAGGTCCTAACCAGTCTTTGATTCCTAGCAGCAGGTAGATTCAGGAATTCATGGCAGTAACTCTCACCATCATGAGAGACATCTTCACTTTTCTTCAGGATTTTCTGTGGGGGAGGGAAGCACCCAGCCTTGTGATAATAACATCTGAAGATGGGGAGAAAAGCCTAAAATAAAAAGTATTTCAGAGGGCACCTAAGTACTCTCACTGGACATTTATAGTGGGCACAATAATTTCTTGTAGAAACATTCAAGTCCCCTTTTCTTCAAAAGTCTAGATACCTGCCCATTACACAAATTCAGTGTGATTCTCTGTCTCTCTTGGAGAGAATCTGTCATTGCTTTGGAATCTTCATGAATATGCAAACTATGTTAACCCAGTTGGTCTATATGCCACCGCACAAGTTAAAGTGCATGTTCTCTCGAAGCTGGGAAAAAAATAGCTATATTTCTTTCCTAATGGGTCTACGTCAATTAATACGAGTAACAATCGTCTTTTCCCTGGGGATTCGTTGAGACGTAATTTTGATCTGATAAAATGAAGTTTAATTTGGGAAATACTAAATAACAGATTCACCATTTTTTCCTTCCAGTTTTAGGGATATAAATCTAATAAGTCCTCATTCCACACTGACCTTATAATCTAATGTGCTCTGAATTGAACAAGAGAGATGTTGAACTATTCAGGGGCAAGAGGATAATTCAGTCTTTGACCTTGCTCACTCTTGGACCTTTTGTGGTCTTTATGACATTTGTGATGGTGGCAGAAACCGAGGACCATATATTTAAGTCACAATGTCTGAATATTCTTCCAATTTTTAAAATACTCTTTACTTTTAAAAAGGATAAATACTTATATGTATACTGATCCTTCCTGGTCTTTATTATGAAATTTGGGGCACAAATAAGCTCTTTGTATACTTTATCTCCTAGTTGCTCAAAAAAGAACTATAAAAATATGTTGTGCATCTCAGTGGATAATTATAGTCAGGCCTTGCAAGATATTCAGCATCAGTTTGAGAAAAGGGAATGGAGTCAATGGTGCTATCTTCAAATCCTCAAATTAGCATCCATTTAGGATTGTTCTGGATGGAAAGGGGAGGTTTAAAATCACTGATAACTCTCGGTGTAAGCAAAGAATATTTTCTGACCTGATATAAATTAAGCTATTACTTTAAGCTACTTGGTTGACTTCTGAACAGTTTTCTAAACAAGTCTCACAGAACAATTTATATTTGACCAACTTTGCTCTATTATTAAAATATTTTTAATTATCAGAACATAAAGTTAAACTCCCAGAATTTCAGCAAAAATTTGAAAATTACAATACTCCATCATTTAACAGTAAAAAGAAATTCTAACATCTTTTAAGTAGCCATCCATCTTACTGCAGTTAGACTTTTTTCCTTTCAAAATGTAAAATTTTACTTTTGTTACAACACATTCATTGAGAAACATTGTGATACTGTATTAATTCTGTGTGAATAAAGAGCAATTGAGACTCTCTTTGAATGAGTGAGTATAAAGTACAAATTACTTTTTAATGAAACCCTCAATTCTTTCCCTTTCCACAAAAAGCCTATAGCCTTGTTCAGCTGAAGGCTACTACAGTAGGTCACTTCAGTTAAGCCCCTAATAAACTGTTGATAGTCGAGGGTAGTTTTTTCTTCCGTCTCAATAGCCCAGTGTTGGACAGTGCACTTCAAATCATTAAGGTTAATACAGATTTAAAAAAGAGATTAACTCTGGTGGTTAAGGCCTCAATTTACAACTCCCACACATACACAGGCATTGAGTGAGGCACAAGAGTGGATTGAAATTTCAGTCAAATTGTGGGCAGTCTTTCACAGCCTGAGAAAGTGGCACTCTTTTTTTCAAAGTTGGTCAGCTAAATTCTTCATGAAGGAAAAAGTTTGACGAACTGAAAAATACTGCACAGGACAACTTACTTACCTTTCACTTAACCAGTGAAAAGGTTACTGTCTCTCTGGACCATCAAAGCAAAACCTGCAGACTGTCTGGCCCTGTGTTCACTAGGGAAGATTCTACTGCTAAATCGAGTGCTCCTTAAAACTGGACAGACTATGAGAAGAGAAAGACCAATGGGGAGAATTTTTTTTTTTTTGGTGGTGGGAAACAGTTCATGTCTGGTGGAATTTGTCTTTTCTAGCTTCTAATTATTCTTCCTTAGGGCCTGATTTCTGCTTTCAGCTGAACATTTAAAGTCTTCTATATTGAGTGAGGCTTTCTTTGCAGAGTATTTAGACCTAGCCTATTGGTTCTTTCAAGTTCTTAGAGGAGAAAAAGAAAAGGGTTCTTCTCCTCAACCCCTCCCCTTCATTTTCCCCTAGGTTGTTTTTTTGAGCTCCCGAGGAAGAGGTCACAGCCTCCCCAGGAATTCCAGCCACTCAGTTTCAGAAACACTGATAGGGGACAACCGTGCAACTCTTTCAAAAGATGCCCTACCTTTTCACTGTATTTAAAGGTACACTAATATAAAACTTCTCCACTCCAGGTGAACTGATCTCTCAAATTAATGCACCGTCTCTTTCAGGAGACCACAGAGGGAGAGGTTAAAAAAAGGAAGAGAGGGTCAGAATTTTATAATTAACGTAATCTGTCACTGAAATTGTCCCATTCAGTGAACAAACCTTTTCCTAAAACAAGGTTACACATAAAGATTTGCAACTCACCAGCCTTATGTCTGGAAATCTACTAGTTATTAAGAGAGATGTTTACTACCCCTTTATTTGCATAGACTGTTCCCATGTTTTTCTTTAGGAAAACTGTCTTCATTGTTGGAAAATATTTAAGTAACAAAACAGCAGAAAAAGACATGCTACAGTTTTCTTATCAGCTTCCGTGAGAATCTTATTATCTTAAGAAATAACAGTTAGCAGCTCAGATTCATTAGCAGAGCTAAATTTAAGCCCCATTTGACAGGCTGCCTAGAAAACATTTTGTTTTGCTGTCTGTGGGCTTTAATTAAGATGTGTTCAATTTCAGTCTTCTTCAGTCTCCCCCCACCCCCAACTTGCTGTGTCACAGACCAGCGATCAGACACTTTTAGATGGTCCAGCCCATGACTTTGACCTTCTGCGCAGTCCGGCGTTCCCTGGGGAACCGTTCAACTCATGAGGTCTGATTTCACACTTCCAGGATGCCTCAGCTCTCTTAACAATGACAGGGAGACAAAGCCCTTTAGAGCAGGCCGCATGGGGACTTGTTTAAATTGGAAACCAGAGAGGAGTCAAGGAACAAGGTTATGGGCTACAGAATAGTGCTTTTAATAAAGAGCTCACAGCTCCGGCTCAGCTCAAAGAAGTCTACCTCTGTACAATTAATTGAGCCATTTATCTGGAGCATCTTAGGCCTCTACTTTCTCACAGAATTGCGTGGTAAATATCAGCTAAGAAGCAAATGAGATATGCATGAAATGAATTTTAACACTTTGATTACTGCACCTCCAGTCTTCATTAAAAGGAAATTTATTTGTATTTCTGACCTCATTATCAGTAGGCTGCCTGCATTTTTATTGGTTCCTGTGATTTCCAGCTTGAGTGTGTCATGAAGGTATATTTTATACAGAGATTTGGATTTATTATTCCTGGTATTTTCCCTGAACATTATGGGTCTATTCAGAGAAAGAAAATGAAAAGGTAGCTGTACGGAAAAGACGAGTCTCTTCTTTGGAAGTTTTATATACAGTTGGTGAA